TTTTCTATGTACACAAAAGGCCTATTTCTCTCAAATATTGTTCACAAATCTGTCTAAATCTGTGTTAGTGAGCACTTCTCCTTTGCCGAGATAATCCATCCACCTCACAGGGGTGGCATATCAAGATGCTGATTAGACAGCATGATTATTGCACAGGTGTGCCTTAGGCTGGCCACAATAACCGACTTAGAAAACCGAATAGGCCTTTTGTTTACATAGAAAAAGTCTTAGATCTCTGAGTTCAGCTCATGAAAAATGGGGGCAAAAATAAAAGTGTTGCGTTTATAATTTTGTTCAGTGTATATACATATACATATACATATACATACACATACACACACACACATATACACTGTGTATATATATATACATATATATACACACACACATACATACATAAACATAAACCTTAAAATTATTTCAGCTAGTTGCCAAAGCAATGTTTCTCATTTTCATTTAGTTTAAGTTGAAGTGCTAAAACGATTAAACTAAAATTAAAAATAAAACAATAAAAAACACTAAAGGCATATTTAAAAAAACAAATAGCAAAAAATTGCTCAAACTTAATTTAAATGAAAACAGAAAAGTTCCAGATAAATATTTCCAACACATTACTTTTGCAATACTCAATATTTACAAAAAAAAAAAAAAGTAAAAAAAACAACATCCTGAAATAAATTAGTTGACAAGTTGTTTAGCGACCGACTAAGCTGAAGCATTGAACTCTACTGTAAGTGTGTGTTTTACCGTTTCATTTGAGAAAACTAGCCTACCGTCATATCACATACACATCAGCTGCAAGTTCTTCACGGCAACCCGTCAAAATAAAAGTTTAGTTTAACGTTAAGAAACTGTCAGAATATATTACTATTTAGCAGTCTTAATACTCAATGCTACTACTGCTAATAAATATGAATACATCTTTATTTTTAAATGAATAATCACATCTGTTTTCTTTTTAATTTTAACAGTAAACCTCTGTTGTGCAGCACTTTGTTTGCCAAAAAATAAAAGGGTTTAATTTTCATTTGATTAGGATAAATTAAATTAATGTTTATGCCTTCACCTGATTACCAAAAAAATTTAAAACATTTTATAGGGCCCTATTATTGTTTAACCCTTTGGGGTCAACACATAAATAAAACAACCCGAATCTCAGCGAATACTTGCCTCAAAGACAAGATAAATATATGTATGGAAAGCTTGAAATGTCTACTTTTAAATGAACCAATTCAAGTCGAAAACAAATAATTTATTTTTATGTAATCCGTATTAAAGTAAGGAGTGGTCCGGTTTCTCCCGTATCACCTCATTATAGCTAATGTGATCCCGCCCCGCTCTGAGCGCGCTGTTCATATGGAAATAAACTGAGGCGAGCCAGGTAATCATGTACACGACCCCGAGAAATGGCATAAAACGTCAAGCTTCATCATAGAATGACTTACTTTTTCTGCGCTTTGCATGATGGCACGCCACCACGGTGAAGAAGCACTTCGGATGGTTCTGGACAGCGACAAAGAGTTGACTTTCTCCTCAGAGGAAGAACGCGACTCGGATGACGAACGTTTGCATTTTGAAGAACGTTTGGACACAGCGGAGGATATAATTCCTGACGAGTAAGCCTTTTATTATTACCTTCATAATTTAAAATGTTGCTCAGCTATAGCCTATTTTATATCTAAATTTGGAAATTTGAATAATCTCCTTACAGGCCACTTATAGTTTTGAATGTTGTACAAAGCGCGTATATAACTATATATAATGATGATATATAGCCTATATAAATGATAAATATATATAATAAAATATATATAATGCTATAGGCCGATATAAACATAAATACAATATTATATATCTCTTACAAAAATTAACCATGGTTTTATGTATTTATTTATTTTTTTACATTTTGGATTGTTTAGACTATATTTTTCCAAATGGTGAAATTGTTCACCAACTAGCTTTTGTTCGCGAATATCTGATGTGGTAAATGTTTTGAATGCGTTATACCCGGCCATTGGCGTTAGCGATGGTCCGAGGTGTAAATGTATCAGAAAGCTGTAAATGTCACCGATAAGTGGCCCATCGACAGACATATACGCGCGTCCATTCTTATCAGTGATGCAATTTATTATCAGTTATGCATCTTCTGGTAATTGCTAACAACAGTTTCATTTTTTGTTTAGGACTCCGGCTGCATCACCGGCATCTTGCAGAAGAAAGGCACGCGAGTGTCGTTCCGTTTTGAGTTCGCTGGAAAATCATACTGAGTAAGTGCACAGTATAGTGTATAGTAATTGTTTTTATTATGCCTATATGGTAATATTATTTGTGGTTGGGATAACACAATAAGTAAATCTTCCTGTATGGGTTTATAGAAATTCTACTTTTGTTATGCCTATATCCCACATGAAAAAATACTATAGTAATTTATAGTCAATACTATAGTGTTTTTGAACCATACTATAGTAAAGTGTATTATACTGTATATACAGTATTATAGTTTTTACAACACTTTGTTAATGAATACTACAGTAAACTGCAGTGTATTGTAGTATAATATACCCTATAGTTGTAGAAAACGAAGTACAGTATTGGGTAAAGTCATTTGTTTTTTATTACTATAGTTGTTATATTACCACAGCAACTATAGAACTACCACAACAAATTAAATCAAGTACTTTACTGTAGTATGGCATTCTGTTTTCTCATCAAGTACGCATATACTAAGGTACTGTGAAAAATAAATGCTAACATTTGTTTACAACACTTTTTT